TTTCATCTGGAGGATGAAAAACCAGTTTCCCAGTTTGTGTCCTGCAGAGTTAAGTGCAGCACTGACACTGGTGAGATGCAACAAAGTACATTTACTTCAGTAAGTACATCGTTCATGTATCTATACTTTATATTCACTTTTACTCCACTGCTGATCAACGCATTTTCCAAATACTTTTATTATTCTGATGGGGAGCTGATGATATACTTACATATTTCATGTTGTGAATTGAAAGAATATTGTGGATGTTTGTTAAGGTCTTAAATATAAACCAAACAGAAAGTCTGATTACTGTGTTTGAATGAAGCCTGACTAACACTGGCTTATCTGAGCTATCGTGTTTAACTTTCCGTAAATCAAAAACCACCTACTCAAGCTATTGTATTATTACTTCAACTTGAGCAAGTTTATTTTACTTTAGTAAAACTACATGTGGTACTTATCTTTGAAGGACTAAAACAGATTTAAAACATTTAAATCCCCTCTTTCTTTTCTTTACCATTTCTTTTCAGGACCCTCTTATCCCCTAAAGGTCACAGCCTGCAGCCTCCCCCGGCACAGATTAGGTGAAAGGGAGGGTACGGTCAACAACCTATCACACAGCCAAGACATACAGGAAAACACTCCTACAAGCACTTCCATTTCCAGTAACATACAAGCACACGCAACAGCCCCGGGGCCCCTGAACACAGAGCCACCACGCTGCCCCGGCTTGTACCTTCATTATCCACCCTGGAACAACACTCATGTACTATCACCAGCGGCCAATGCGACACTGTTATCTAGTCGCAGCGCTGAGTGAAAACTGTACGATACAGACAAGCTGTATCTTGCGGCAGCAATCGCAGAATAAATGCACATTTAGTACAGTACGAGTTTCATAGGTGACGCAGTGTGGCCTTCCTTAAGGACTGTGCAGCGCTACTTAAAAAAACAAAACAAAACAAACAGCCCTCGCGTCAAAGTGACGCGTTGCCGTGTGTGTAAACGTCGACTATCGTTGCGGGCCTCCTTCACTTTCTCCTCGGAGAACATTGGCTTGCTCTGATAAGATGCATCTCGCTTCAGCGTGGGCCCTACGAGGAAAGACAGGGCTGACGTTGGCTACAGTGGAACTGATAGGAAGCTTGTGTTGTGTCACTGAACACTAGCCACAGTCAGATAAAGGTTACACAGCCAGGACTGTATGAGGCCAAGGCTAGAGAGAGAGAGAGGGAGAGGGAGAGGGAGAGGGAGAGAGAGGGGGAGGGGCCTAATTGATAAGGCTTTTTGGGGCTACACTGATAACGGGGGAATAAAAACATTTCCTGAGATAAATGTATAAATAACTTGGTCGATATTTATATTCTAAAAAGTGCCAATGATTCCCAGCATGTCGTCATCGAACCCAAGGCTTGATGTTTTACAGTTTGAAACCAAAACTTTATTATAAATTCAAAAGAAAACACTAATGCAGCCAAATATAAATCCACTATTTTTATGTAAAATGTAATTTTTCTGCGTGTTTATTCAGTAAAATTAAAAGTTTTCATATTGGCAAACATGCAGACACCAATGCATCTCTGAGAGTCTTGATATCGGACGATTTGCCTTTTGCTGGTGAAAACCTGAGATATAAGATGGGGTCTGGAGAAAAGCCTTACATCTGATTGTAAAATGAACAGGGAGCCAAAGAGGAGAGTTTAGGACGGAGGTGATGGGCTCACAATTTTTAGCACCAGTCAACATCCTTGCATGTGTATTTTGGACGTTCTCTGGGCAAGTTAATGAAGATATACTGTCGGTAACAATGATTAATAATAGCCCACACTGGGCAGCATCACCAGGGGACAGACTGTATGTGTGTCAGGATTAAAATGAACTCAATTTAAAAATAAAGTTTGTGACTTCAACAAAAACCACGACCACACACGGAGTACGCCACCTTTGGTTTGTCTTCATCAGCAGAAAACTGTCTCTGCTTGTATTTATGCATCAAAAGAGACGGCTAATTGGTCGTGGGTCAGTTTTTTTTTTTATGCACTCATCCAGTCTTGCATTAAGCGAGGCCCTCATAAACTGATACTGCTGAATACAGGTAGCTGCGGTGAGGCTGTTTACACTGAGCACGATTACAGAGCGTGTGCAGGTTTAAGGTTAAAAATGAAACATGAGAGTATAAAAGTGTCTCCTGAAGAAAATCAACCAGTGCCCTTTATAGGGAACAGGTCTGTTCAGTGACTGCAGCGCGTCATACTTCTTGCACTTTAGTGAACTCAGCAATGAGTGACATTCACCAGCAGAGTGGCAGCGGGTTGTAAACTCTCTGTCTCGGCGTGATGAATGGGAGTGGGAGGGAACAATTGCAATAGCTCATCCATTTTTTATTACCACTGCATTTCTTTCCAGGCTCTGTCGAGGTTGCCTGTATTACACCGAGTTACCTGTGGACCTTTGGGGGGAAGGGTTACAAGCTGCCACCTTTTTTTGTACCAGGCCGATTAAAACTATGTTCAACTTTTTAGAAACTGCAGTAACACATGTAGTAAACGGGATAATTGAGTTTCTGATCCTCAAAGTGTGTAAGGGCAACACTTATTTAAATGACCACATGGATGTCGGAAGCTTGGTCCCGTAAATAAAACGCACTCGACGAGTCTCATCTGCCAGTACTGACCTTTCACCATGTTTTTATAGCATGACATAAATAATGAAAACCAACATACATCAGTGTGATGAGAACAACCTCAAATAACAGAAACAAGATCTTGATTTGATCAGCGGACATACTGTATATGCTGGTGCTGGAATATCTGTTCTAGATTTTGGCTGATAACACAAAATATCAGTCTGTCTTTATCATCTTCTAACAGTAGAGAATATATACACACATACAAAACCTCAAGGAAAAGGCTCTTATATATAAATCTTGTTTCCTTATAGTGTGATAGACTTATGTCAGAGCTAATACAAACTTCCGGTTGATTGTTTTATTACATTTCTGATGTATTATAGTCTTGAAATAAACATGTGTTTGTTTATGAGCAGTGAGTCTGGTGGTTAATTGTCCTCGGTTGATCTGCGGTGTTGCATGTCACGGAGGAATCTAAATGCATTGTATACTTTTTGTGCTAGAACACAAAGTTCCCCTGAACAACGCCCAGACAGACCTGTCTCAGTGCAACCACAGCCACGACACATCTCTCAGTGGGAATCATGACTAATTCAAAGGATGATCTGCCAAAGTGGGAATCAGATGTTGTCTGAACTTCCTTTTCGTTATTAAGAGCTGAACTTCACTTCCTGCTGATTACAGCTCGGGCCTCCTAATACATAATTAAAAGAGCTTAAGGCGTTTCTACTTGACTTGCAATGACGCACCTTCGGCTGCTGCTCCATCAACATTACGGGAGTGATGGTGTTTAGCCACCAACAGCCAGCTTTTGTGTTCGTTTAAGCGATCGGGGGCACATGCAGAGGACTGGTGGCGATTCTGGTTAAGAAACACCTCTGTTGGCTGAGTCCGTCTCTTTGAGGTTAACGTGCCACAACAGTAACCATATCAACAAAGGCCACCTTTAAGCTTATTAGGAGCGATTAAGGAGCTTAACTGGGCTCATGTCTCAAGCGACGAGATGAAACAGCATGCTCGTTCTCCAGCGTGCCCCCCCCCCTGCTCACGGAGCTGCAGCATAATCTTAGTGTGTGTTTCGAACCACAAAAGCAGAGGCTTACTTTAAAAGTCAAAACCACAAACAACGAGGAACTCCTGCCTGCGTTTGACCCGAGGGTGTGAGACAGCAAAGACTTGTGTTGTTACAGTGCAGGTGAAGGGACATCTGTGTCTATCAGAGGCCCAGGACTGACTTGTGTGTCTATCTCCTCTTAACAGACACCTGTTGTGTGAACTGACAGGTGGGACCTTGAGGCAGCCGTCCCCACCTGCTGCTGCTGGAGCTTGAGCCTCGAGGGTAGGTTCACTTCACCCTGAATAATCCCTGACTGTCGGTGCTCCGGTGCTTCCTGCAGAGCTCACATGCGAAAACAAAGACTACCTCTGTGCATCTTCCATCGAGCGAAGGGAGAAGGTGCTTTCATGTGCAGCCCAATCTTAAAACAGCTTCCATTATCATGAAGATACAGCTGATGAGAAAAAAAGATATTGTTGCCAGTAGGTTTGTAGTTCAGTGTCAGTGGCGCAGGGTTTCATTTGAGGTTATCACACACGCACGTCACACACAACCGGCAAATGTTAACGGTGGACTTAAAGCTTAAATCTTTAAATCCTCCACTGTGTTATCAAACCGTGTCAGCAAGAGGAGGGGCAGCTGCTACCCAGGCTGTTTGGTGACTAAATGCCAAACACTGGGATGTAAAAAAAAAAGTTCTGACCCCTCCGCAACTTTACAGCAGAGTTCAACAGTAGTGGGTCTGTTTCACCTCTCATGTTCACATGTAACATATAAGCACAAGCGCCCTGCAAACGCCCTGAGTGTTCTCACCGCTTCCATATCACAAAAATTGAAACATTGCAAAGTGCGTACGGCTCTATCATCACACACAAGAGGGTGGACCATCACAGCTGCCTCCAGTCTCCAGCACGTGAGACACTCAAAAGAGATGGGCCTCTGTGTCACCGGTTGATAATGAAAACAGAGATTAGAGGGGATCATGGCAGGAGGAGTGGTTCGGTTGGAGCCGACTGCTGACAGGATGACCTGGGATACCGGGCACAGGCCTGGCACATCCAGAGTCAAGGTCAACGAGGAATAAAATGCAGTAGATTAGCTGCTTCACATAGGGAGGGAGGGAGGGTTAGAGAGGTGGGGGTGGGGAGGCAGGGAGAGTATGAACCCAGATAGAGTACCTGGCTTTCATGTGTTGATGGGGGAAGAGAGAGAGGGAGGTAAAGGTGCAGTTTATGCAATGTTTGTGTGATGGACAGAAAAGAGACAGACTTTTGAAGGAAGGAGGAAAAGACCTGAATTAAAACAAACTTAAAAAGTGAAATCAGTCCATACCTGGAGCTCACACCATGCCACCTCCACTGTTGTCTCGGTGTCCAGCCCTTTATAGACCGTCTTGAAGGATCCTCTTCCAATCTCTATGTTGAATTTGAGGTATCTTCCATCAGGGGAAGTTGCCACCGCTTTGGTCTCCACGTCCTCCTTCTCCTCCTGCTCAGACTGGGTGTCAAAGGTGATGCGAGACAATGTCTTGTGCTGCTTATTGTGAAGTTCACTCTCAGAGTCCGAGCTGGCGGCCCGGCCCCTGGATCTCTGGACGGGTTCCCAGCTGCCGTGAGTGAGGGAGCCGGCGTCGGGCTCCTGGCTGCCTGGGGGCGTGTTGGAGCTGGTGCCCGGGCTGGAGACCGGGGACGGGGACGGTGGAGAGGTTTTCTCCTCCTCTACTCTGGACTCGGACAGTGTCAGGATGTTCTCGGCGGACCAGGACAGGGCTTTGGAGAGGGCCCCGCTGTATAAAGGCGAATCCATGTCCATGCTGATTTTCTGCAGCCCGTAAGAGTTTCTGCGCGCGCCCAAGCCGTGCGTCCTCAGCACGGATGGCACCCGGGACAAGCAGTCGTCGGTCATATCCACAGGGAGGCCTGGGAACCCGCGTCCTGGTATCTCGACCTGTGCGTGGGACATGTTGGCAGGCTCAACGCCTCCTTGATCTGGAGCCTGGATGTGGAAAAGGCATGAGGACAACAGAGTACAGTTACTGCAAGTGGCGCGTTACTTTTCCATGATGTCAAAGGAGTGGGTGGCTTTAAAGAAAAGTCTGTCACACAATTAAAAAACAAAAAAAACAGAATAAACCATAAACTGACTTTTAATATAAGAGGCTGATTCCACCTGTGGCGACTTCCACCCTTGGAAACTTGATTTCTTTTTAAAAAACAAGAGGAATAAGAAGAATACTTACTCATCCCAGCTGCTGAGTGGAGAAGATATTTCACACTATTACGCACGAAAACGCATAGTTTCCATCAAATAATCCCCGGTGTCCTCTTGTCTTCACAAAGTCCTCAGCCATAACCTCCTGTGGAAGGACGGAGCTGCCTATATCAACAGAGCACCGGAGGGCTGCGCGTCCCGTGCGCTCCCAGTGCGCGCACCCAACTCCGCCCCTCGCTGCTCTGACGCGCCCACAGCTCCAACACACAGGGACGAACTACAACATCACCAGAAAAGTGTTTGCAAAGTAATTCTGTAGAAAAGCATCATCGTGTTTTTCCGCTGGAGTTTTACTTCTGATGCGTAATTGGTGTCCAACAAGATCAGTGGAATATCTTTAAACGTCCAAACTGGAGCAGTATTGTGCAAAATGCATGAGATGTAAAGGAAGCGAAGTTTTTTCTTTTTAATAGAGGGTGAATATATTTATATTTTTCTTAGAATTCATTTGTTGAACAAGTGCCAAATGCCTTCCACTTCACAGCGTGTGCGCAGGAGCAGCAACAGAACATGTCTCCTCCTCCTCCTCCACTGATCAAGACGTCAACTCCTCAAATTCCTCAGAAATAAGATGAGTCACTTCTCTAAATCTAATTTCATTATAAAATCGGATGAAAGGAGATACTAGTGCGGAGTGGACGGACCTGCAGGGGGAGCCAGGCCGGAGAGAGAGCTGGCTGCAGAAACAGGACACCTTTATCACCAATGCCCACACTGGGCCCCTCCTGTCCCACATGATCTCACACTGCGCGTTATCAGAGAGCAAACACACACTCATGCACGTTTGGGACCCAGCAGCTCATGATGCAAGTGGACTGGGCCCCCGTCACTCACTGTACAGCTGCAGGCAGAATTTAGAGCACATCTCCATCAGTGTGGTTGGAATCTGCACGTCTGCACTGTGGGGCCCAGTTCACATTATCCTGTATCACAAAAAAAAACCCCTCAAAGATACTTCAAGCACGTCGCTTTGGGATGACAAGAGATGATTGTGAAGAGACAACATTAGCAAAGATCTAATTTATTTTCCTACATGATATGAAAAAAGATTACAGAGAGAGAGAGAGAGAGAGAGAGAGAGGAGCGTCACAGTAGCTACTGCACAATATGACAGGATGACAGCAATCTGTACACGAAGTCCGCAGTTGATACACTCAGCTGAGTCGAGCCGGGATCGGTGGAGCGAGTCTCTGTGGAGTTCCTCTTCTGGAAGCTTTTATTCTTAAAATAAAAAAGTCCCTCTGGTGTTGTGTTCTGGGATTTCTTCGAAGTTGGAGCAGGAGGAACAACATCCGAGCAAAGGTCCCGAGCTAATTCCACCATGTAAAATGTATTAACAGGGAAAAATTGGCATAAAACCGGTATATATTTACTTCCTGTATTTACAATAAAGAGAGTAAAGGTACAGCTGGTGGGAAAAGATAATCCCCTTAAGCATTCAAACATAATGGTATCTAGTGCCCTGATAGATTAATTGCATGTTTACATGGCAACAAATGTTACCTGTGAAAACTTCGAACATGGTGCCTCTTAAAATGCTCTTTAACCCAAACACTTCCCCTCCAATAAGAAAAGACTAAGAATTTTAGGGCGAAACCAAAAGGCAACATTTACTGGACCAGCATCGTCCGGGCTGGGCACTGAGGTGCACCCTGCGCAGCCATAAATGGCTAAATATTAAAAATGTGCCTGTAAGGTAGAGTATGAGGGTTCCCAGACAGAGCGAGTGTGATTCCAGCACCGTTTCAGAAGAATTTGACGCCCTTTCCGTCCTCCATGGTCATGAGCTCAGCTTTGCCTTCTGTTTGTAAAGCCTGCAACGAGCGCAGGAGCATCCAGTCTTCAAGACCGTGAAACTCTGAGAGAACAAAGTAAGGTCCAGGTCAGACGGCAGAATGAAAATAAACAGTTAAGTGTTCAGAACATAGACTGCATATAAAGATGGACGACATGGCAGCTCCACAGAAGGTAAGCCAAACAATGTATATCGCCACCTGCTGGCTGGCTGCAGTATAGCTCAGAAATCCTGCCTCCCTCATAATTCAAATGGGACATGGAGCCAACGAAGAAATACACGTTCAATTAATTTTCAAAGAAGTTTTTTGTCATTTTAGATCATATTTGGGTTTTTGTTGTCTGGGATATTTATATTACTTTTTATACAATGGGAGGAAGTGGAGATGTGCATTCCATCTTTATACTGTCTATTGTAATAGTCCAGTAAAAAACAATAATAATAAAACAATTATTCACATTAATAAAAGGTTTTCTAATACAAACTAAAAACATTACTCTATATTAGTCTATATTTGATATTTAAATTAAACACGTGTTGATGCAGATGTATTTTAATGGAACCATACCTTCACCGTCTGTGTCATCACCATTGGACAACTCATAAAGTGTAAACACAGAGTTGTTCATCCCATTTCTGGAAACCTAAAACAGCAGAATAAAGAATAAAAGTCACGCACACAAAAATAATATCAGAGTTTCTTAAAACAAATGTAATGAATGTCAAGTGTGCAAAACAGATCCTGCTTTACTGAGACTCTTTCATGTTGCCTATGTAATGGAACAACACGTTTACATGCACTGTAGTAAACTGGAAATATGTGTTGACACGCCGCTGGTCAGTGAGTTTTCCCTCAAACTGCATTTCAGAGGCAATATTTACTTCTTTTTTTTTTTCATCTTAGCAGTGACACAAAACACATTTACATTATGTTCCCTGAGGCATAAAGATCTAAGTGGTCTTAAAATATTGTGCATATTAGCAAATTAATATCTGAAGTGACTTTGATAGCATCATAATATTTTTACACTGAACGACAGGATCCTTTTGTTTATTACGTTAAAAGGACACTTTGCACTTTCTCTTCATTCTTTATCAAACCACAAATGAACAAAAATGCCCAGTTTCACAGAGAGAACACGATGTCTCCTGGTTTGATGACTCACCCACTGGTATATTAACTTGCCCCACTCCTCTGGTCGTCTCCACATGACTAAACACCGGGACTTGTTTTTGTCCAACCATTCGAGGTTACCTGAGGTCAGTCGAAACAATAACACAAGAAGTCAAACGCGTTCTCGAGAAAGAATTTGGGAGTGAGACGATGAAATTAGAATTTGTTTAGGTTCCAATTTAATGATCTTAACACTTAATGCAAATTCATTTTGTAGGATTACACCAGGAGCATGGTTGAAAGGGGTTGTACCAATCAGAGTGCCAGATTCCATCAGGGAGAATTTGGCAGGAAGTCATGACAGAACAACGTTTGAACAACGTAGGAACGGAATGTGAACATGACAATTGAATAGGTCAGAAAACAGTAAAGAGACTTGTGTTGAAGTCCCTTCGGTGATTAGGAACCTGAAGTTACACCTGGAAAAACATCCAGACAGAACAAAATGTACCTTTTTTCCGCAGCTCCTCAAACACAACTTGAATTGCTTCCATTGACAGTTTTCCTGGACTTCAGTTAAGGGGAGGAAAAACAAAAACTTGTGTAGCTTGCGCTCAATGCATGAATGACTGAAAACCTTTTTAACACCTGTAAAAGTTCAGAGGTTTAACATTTTATATAATCATTGGGATCTGATCACCTGTACTCTAATTTGACCTCTAAACTGAAACTAACATGCTGTTGCAATTTTATTACATCAAACCAAAGCTAATGGTCAATGAGTTCAACATTCAAGAAGGTTTTAATATTAAAACTTCTTTCAGAGAGCTAGTGATTCAACTTTACGATAATTTCGGAGGATGTCTATTGGCTGTGTACGTGTGCAGCAAGAGATATCCCAAACCCCAACTCTTACTTTGGTAAAGTGGACACAAATCATTTGGAACAGACCTCACTTCAACTGCACCAGAGCAGCCTCCTCAATCAGATGATAATCAAGTCGTATACATCCCTTGATAAGAGTTTAAACAAATCTGAACTTTAAACGTCAACGTTAATATGGCAACGTTAATATCCTCCGGGTGAAGTTTAATTTATATCCCAATAAAAGAGGCAGCCTTTAAACCTTTGACTCACAGTCCAAATCAAACAATGAAGGTAAACAAGAGGAGCAGCACCAGGGATTTTAAACTGGCTCCTCAGAATTTACATCTGAGCACGGTGACGGTTTAGGATACGTTCTATCTTCTTGTTGTTGAACACGGGGCTTTCCTGAGCCTCCATGATGTCCAGGGTGTAGAGCTTGTGATGCCGGCAGTACGACAGAGCCAGGGAACACCATGCTGCCAGCTGTTTCTGTCTCGTGTCAACATTGGGCTGTAGCCTGTCCGAAAAAAGAGATGAGCAGAAGACATGAAGCTCCTTCAGCAAAAGATTCACTACAGCTGTAGATTTAGTTTCAGTATGCTCTTCCTTAACTTTGATTGTATACATGAGATAATAAGTACTTCTCAGTTTAACACTTATCAACTGTCTCTAGGTTGCAGAGTCATTATAATTATAAATAATAATTATTATTATAAAAGCCATCAGTGTACACCACACACACACACACAGTGCTGCAGAACTGTGTAGCATTGAACCCAGAGGTCTCTGTTATGCAGCTCCTCCTCACTGATAGAAATAACCATGTTCTTCCTTTCATGCAGCATCTGTTGCCCCTCTGTGTGTCCTGGGAGAGGGAGTCCTCACATGTGTCTCTACAGGGTTCTACCTTCTTTTCTCCCGGTTAATGTATTTCTTTTAGAAGTGTTTCTTTACTCTTGTTGAGAGTTAAGAACAGAGGATGTCGCACCTTATTTTCCTGGAGCAGAGACATTGTGATTTGTGAATAAGGGATATACAAATAGAATTTGATTGGAAAAAAAAAACCCCACCTCTTTAAAAGAGTTTCAGCACAAATCAGGACACGAGGACTTAAAGTTTTATTAAACAGTCTGTCAGTGTGCATGATAACCATAGTTAGAATCTGCACAGATGTGAATGTCAACATCTGTCTTGATCTCAGCAGATTAGCACAGTTTTGTAAACCTGCACCTTTCCCCACCTCGGTGTCTTCACCTTGTGTCGCTCGGTGTCGTTACGATCGTTTCTATGCGTCTTTAAATAAATAAAAAAAACCTTCTGAAGCTCAGCAACATGTCGCAGAACCCGATGAGTCGCAGAAGTTGTTCTGCAGCACCGGGTTCGTGGACATGTGTTCGTGCAGCTGACGGCTCAGATCGACACATAGCTAACAGCTAGCCACAGCTAAACACGGTCGCTGATTTTAGATGTGGATGTTTGCACGATGACCCGCTGAGTGGGAAGGGAAACCGACAGAAGCTGCTGGATAAACTTTTTTTTCTTTTTAAATCCTCCGAGTGAGTAAATCCACTTCCCTAGCCGGTTCGCTTAGCCAGTTAGCCGGCTAGCATGATGCTAGCTCGTAAATCCGCACATTTCGAAGCGACGACGTTAAAAACGGCGGAGGATAATGATCGATGTGGTTCGTGGGATTAACATGAGACCGAGGAAAACGCGAACTCACGTGAAAAACGGTGGGAAGTTGTACTGCCAGGGCCACTCAAAGCTCATGGTTCCACAGCTGACAGCTTCCGCAAACACGTCCCCACCCTCAAATGGTTCCGACCAACAACGACTCGAGTTGCACTGAAGGAACTAAAAAAAAACAAAACACACATAGAATATAAAATAAAGATAAACACAAGTATAAAGATGTTTAATACTTATAATTAGATTTTACAAAAAATGACGAACACAAATAAAACTGTATAGACATCATGAATCATCACAGGTGGAATGAGGAGCATTCAAGTACAGTGCTTTCTGAGGAACGTCCATTGTTGCAGCAGTAGGTTCAGTTTATTTTTCAGTCCAGCTTCTTTAACTTATTACGATTTTACAAGTGGTCAACCTACATAATATGACGCGTTGTTATTAATATCCAAAAGCTTCCCCCTCGACAAACTGAATAAAGATGTTTAGAGATTGATTACACATTAAAGGTCCAGTGTGTAAGATTTAGGTGAAAGGGAACTTTAATGTAGAATAATCCTCAAGATGTTTTCACTAGTGTGTTTCATCTAAATTGTATGAACCCCAGAAAAGACCCTTTATATTCAAATACTTTATATTTACATCGAGGGGACCTTCTCTACGGAGGCCGCCATGTTTTTTACATTAGTCCAGACTGGACGCTGGACACCCCTCACCTCACCCTCCTCTTCCAAACATGAAGCAGAACCTGTGGAAACCTTCAGTCGCCAAAATAAACTCAAAAGGTTTAGTTTGTCCAGTCTGGGCTACTGTAAAAAACATGGCGGCCTCCGTAGAGATGACCCGCTCCTGATGTAAATATAAAGTACTTAAATATAAAGGGTCCATTCGAGGGTAAATTAAACAAATATATATATAAAATTTAGATGAAACACACCACTAGGATTATTTTATATTCAACCAATATTCAGCTAAATCTTCCACACTGGACCTTAAGGATATTAAATATGTCAGCCTGCACTGTGAGTCACTTTATGTTCCTGCGACACACTTTATGTCTGTTAATGAAAAAATCTCTGTTGAATGAATTTCTTTCTTTTTAACAAGAATAAACACACAACTTAGTTTTTTTTTTTTTACAAAGTTACTTTATTATTGAATAGCTTGTGTATTTTCAACACCTTTCAGCATAAACCTGCTTTCTATTTCTATTTACAGGAAATAAATCTCTGCTAATATCCAGTTTACTTTTTCATGGTCTGATTGACTTAACCACCGACTGTCAAACAGATCACTTATTTATATTTCTATGTTATTGTACAGTTTCTTCAAGTACAGCACAATCGAAAACATTTGTTTTACAGTTCAGTGGAAAACAACCTACAGGTTGCACAGGTATTCTATTTCACCATCTAGTTCACAGCAAGATACTGGTATTAATATTTATTTTTTATACATTTCTATATTACAATAAAACATTCATGGGTAAAAACATAAAGAAAATAATGCAATATTGGATTATAATCTCAGTTATTGCAATATGTGGCATACTTTAATACCAAATCCAAACAATATTTAAGTCATTAAACTAAAATAAAGACGGAAGCAATCAGTGACGATTTCTTACAGAGAGAATTGATGCATCTGTGCTGCTGTGACTTGGTTCCTATTTCAGCTGGGAATTTGAAAAATAAAACCAACGAACTTATTAAAATCTCCAGAATGTGATTTGTGCGATAAAAACAGTTTGACTCTCACAGATCTGACGCAGCCGTTCTTCTGCCCAACGGACTCAATAAACTGAGATGGGAAACTAAACCACACCGACACCTGTGCAGGTCAGGTTCCTACAATACTGCCAAACGTAGTTCTAACTGTGTGAGCCTCCTATGGACTAAATCTGGTTACACATGCTTCAAATTTTCTCAGCAAAGACTATTTGAACTTTACTAGTTTTACGGTGTTAAACTTCAAATATTCTGAGCAGAGAACGCTCGAGGAGCCCTTCACTTCTGTTAAAAGATGAGTTTTGTCTTCAGGTGTTGCACCGAAGCTGTTTACGTGCATGCAAAGGTAAAATCTAGCTTCTTCAAACAACGTGAGCACATTTAGACGTTTGCCCCGTTCTGCCCTGGAGGCGTGCGACTGCTTTAGCTGGAGTGGAAGATTCGCTCATATTCATTCAGAACGAACTCCACGATCTGGTTCTGAAACACCATGTGTATCGCGATGTTGGACGCCTCCATCTCTGGCCGAAGCAGCGTTGGACCGAACACGATGGCGACGTTCTGCACAGTCATGCGATTGTCCTCCCAGAACTGAATGACCCTGTAAAAAGACAAAAAATAAAGTAAGGAGCTTTTTTTGCCACTTGTGCATTCACTCAATATCAATCTCTCTCTGTGGAAGTTCTCAACCTAATGTCATGAAACAGATCAGAAGAGAAAAAATAATGAAGTTTACCTGCGTAAATGACCAAAAAGAAGTTCCATGGTGTCGTGATTTGGAGGAGGAAGGGATTTGACCAGTTCACGCATGCAAGACACTTTTGTGTTATGATCAGAAATTCCTAGAAAAACAGGATCAATCAGTTATGAATATATTTCATCATCGACAGGTGAAGTAATGTTTTCCAATTAGCTGCAATACATTAGAAAATGTGCTTACTGATGGCTTTGATGAAGTTTTCAAAGTGGCTGAATGGGAAAAGCGGCTCAGGAAGCTCTCGGAAAAACAACTTGAGCGCTCCGGTGATGACATGAACGTCCTCCCACTGCCCGTCCTCCAGGTCCAGCTCCTCTGTTATGACAACACAGGTGCAAGGGCCATTAAAACACAACGGAGGGCGCTGTTGTCCATCGTGAGAACCTTCAGTGCACGTCCACTTTCCACAACCATCGGGTGGATTATTCAGTTTGATTAACGTGAAGTTGTAAAATGATAACGAGTTTACCGTGATCAGCCTTGAAGCGCAGTTTCTGAATGACAGCGAGGTTCCCGCTCACTCTGTAGAGTCCGTCAATGTCTAAACCTGTGAACAAACACATCGTGTGTCTTCAGTTCTTTCACTGTTCAACTGCAAACAGGAAAAACACTTCAGTGAGATCCCGACTTTAACGTGAACTCTCTTTCCTCACCTCTCTTCTCCACTGCTTTGATACATCTCTCCACAAAACTGGGAACTGTGGTCCTCTCCTGTGCACAGAGTGTGCCCAGATGGCAACCGAACACATTGTCTGTAGGGAATAAGAGCATTATTATTATTATGAGTAGTAGTAGTAGCAGCAGTAGTTGTAGTAGTATTAATACTGTAGTCATATTTCTAGAGCTCATAATACTACCTGTATTATCATCCAATTGAAGATATTAATGATCCTTATTAAGATCAGACAGAATTAATAGGTGATCAGTTTGTTCTTCAATGGTATTAAAAGTAAAAAAATACAAATATAAGCACATATCATTTATTCTGTATGAAAGAAATTAACATTATAACTGTCTATTGGTTCCCTGCACAGTTTAGCACATTGTTTTATCCAGTTTCTTTTTTTTTAATACCTTCAATTGTTTTCCTGAAAACTTCAGTAACTCTGGGGGTAGTTTTTCTCTTTGTACCCGTTTCCACGAGCTTCTATTCACATAAAAAGACCCTTCGAGAACCACAGTGTGATTTGTCCCCGTACCTCGGATGTATCCTTTCTCCTTGACTGACTGCAGCGTTGGACGTTTCAAGAGGAACTTCATCAGCTTGGTTCGAACCCTTTTCTGATCAACGTCTGCCGCAGAGCTGTTTGAGTGTGTGACACTCGGCTTCGAGGCTGAAGACAGAAATATCACACATTTAAACTGGTTGTAACTGTGGCTATAAATATCTTTATCTAATGTAGTGGATCTAATTAGGTCAAAATGATTACGTCAATCATTCCTCAATTAAATCAGATCAAGTTTGTTCATCTTACATCTTCGCTTGTCGATGCCAGCGCCGCTAGGCTCTACGATCTTCTCGTATAAATCCCCGTCCTCCTCCTCTGAGTGATGGTCCTGGTACTCCTGATGCACAGGCATACAGATATCTCTATTCAACAATCACCTCAATGAACAAACCTGACCTGAACACGATTTAATCTTTTTCATTTGTCAGAATTAAGAAGTTTGTTTCATAACTTGAACAATTAGATCTTTAGAGTTACACTAATATGTTTATGAAGTTGTATTAAATCATTGGCAGATTCTTCTTTTAAAAGTTTTCACTTTCTTATTGAGTGTAGAGAGTAAAAAAACACCAAGTAAACTGTTTCCTCCTGTTTCTAGTCTTTATGCCAAATTAAATGATTCCTGCCTTTAGCCTCAAATTGAATAAACACATATAAGTCGAGGACATTGGACTTACCAGTTGTCGTATGGTGTCCATTAAGACTTTGTGCCAGTCGTTGATGATGCTTTCAGTGTCGTACTGAATCAGAAACTCCACACCGTTCTTACCTTTTAACTAAGAGGGATGAAATCACAGATGTTAACATTTGTACTGTTTGCTTTGTTTTGGCTGTTTAGTTATAATTTCTGTTACCAGCTCTGTGGTGATTCCATAACTTAAAAAATAATTTAAATTAATGGCACTTCCAATATTTAATGAAACAGATGTATCTTAGAAATGTATTTTCACCGTCTTTAAGGAAAAGATTGGATTTGATCACAATTGGATCGTTCACAGAAAAACTGATTCAATCAATTTATCGTTCATATCATTTCCCACGGGGGAACATTCTTTAACAATGCTAAAAATAGACATGTGTTAGTTCCCCTCAATAAAAAAAACCCACAATCAAATGCCGCACATTGCATTATGGTCTACGTCAACAAACGAACACACCTCTAAAACATTCTTTTTGCTGGATTTGTCCTTGGAGGCCCAGCCAATCGTGGCTCCTCGCAGGTCCACCGTGACCTCCGGAACAATCTGATTGGTCTTGCTCTGCACGGAGGGAGAGAACACAGCTGCTTACCCAAAACTGACGGCACCACATTCCAAGAAACGAGCTGCGCTAAAAACAAAAGCAGCGACTGTCAGTGTCGGCTCAGGACCTGAGGGTTGTCTGCTACGTCACTCCTCACAAAGGTTGAACAAACAACCTTGTTGTATCATCAGCTGCTTATCGTTTCATTTACTTTCTCAGCTTTGAAACATGATATTTAAATTGAAACTTCAAAACAGTGTCAGACTCGTTCTCAGTCTGAACGTAACATGATCAGGAACATTCCGGTGTCAGAGTTTCCTATTAATGCAAGACGAGCACTTTCTTGTCAAACCAGTGTTTATCGTACCGAGGCCCCCGTCGCTGCGGACTTTGGGTCTTTGTGGAACGTCAGCACTCCTCCGTGGAGAACCGTCCATGTCTGGCCCCAGTTTTTCCTGAAAAAGGGGAAAAAAACGCTTGAGCAACTCAGAACAAAGCCATGGGGAGCTTTTGGGGGCGGGGGGGTGACACATGACTCCAAATACAGTCAAACTCAAAAAACTGAAACATGAGAATGTGCTAATCTCACAGAGAGAGGTTTTCATTTACCTGACTTTCTTGCCGTTCTCAGACACTTTTGTTTTGTTGAGAATTCCGGCTTTTTCTAAGTTCTGCAACTGAAAATGTAAAATAAAAACAACGTTTGAAAACTGTCTGGATTATACATAATTATTCAGCTTAGACGTAAACACAAATTACATGCTGATGCTGAATGAGGGACACACAATGTTGATCGCAAAGCTCATCCAGACTTTTCTGTTACAAGCACGGACTTTCCCAGGAGGCAAACTTTGAGAATTATGATAAAAGAGAAGTTGTAGTTTCGCGAAAACAGAAATCAATACAACATCTAGTGTTAATTTATGTTTAAAGTAAAAGGATTCAAATATAAACCTAATGTTATTTCATATTATTATCGTCAACAAATCCGATGAAAACACATAAACTAACCATCTGTTAGTCCATCTCTCAATATCTATTCAAAACAAACAGTTTCAGTCTAAGTTTCACTTTTAGATTTTCAAACACAGCTGCATACTGAAGTTTGTACATGAATTCAAACAGGAGTAAATGTTCAGCACGATATCTAAGCAATGAATATATATTATAAAAAAATATATATATTTAAGAAAACTACATTCGTTTTTTTAAAATGGTGGCTGAAATAAAGTATTCAACTATGCATGTTCACCTCAAAGATGCTCGTACTTTCGAAAAGTACAATTCCCCTGAGCAGGTGCTTATTTGCGGTAAACGATTTCCCCAGAACTTAAATTAGACACTGGTCCCTTCGTGGGAAACGTTCCTGCAAAGGTTCCTACTTCCTGGGTAAGTTCCTCTATTTGAAACGCTGCTTCAGTGAGTTTACTTCAATGACTGTTTCCTACAGCAGGACAGAGAGTTACCGACTCAAAATAAACTGAGTGTTCATGGTTACGAAGGAAGCAGCAGTGTGACTCACCGATGTGTTTTAATCATCTTAGTATGTATTCTACACAAGGTGAAGTATTTCTGCAACTTCAATGTGTATTTTCAGGGGCATAATTAAAGTCTAAAAGCAAAATTCAGATGCCCAGATATACACAGAGACAGGTTTTGCTTGTAACCACACTTCCTTAAGTCACAAGGGGAAAATAAACTCTTTTTTCTGCATTCAGAAATGTAACTGAAACTATGATGTGGCTCTGATGGTTTGCATTAAACAAATCAAGTGAGCATTCCATTTCTTCCATCCACTGCTGCTCAGCAAGAAAACACGGAGGGACTTTCAAAATAAAAAAGACAAACAGCAAAATCCTCTCCCTCTCCTTCGGGTGAAGTAACTCATTACATGAAAGACACGGTGATTTAAACGTATTCGATGCAGGGAATGAGACACATGTTGAAGTACAACAAATACTGCCTCGTCATAGATAGACGCTGCTATCTATGGATCAGACTCAGGTGAACACCCGAACTAACCACCCACGTTATAGCGCAGCCACCTGGAGGTCAGATAATAAGGGCTTCTCCAGGGTCTAAACCCAAAAGCCTTAAGAGAAGAGATACACAAAAACCATTATTTTCCATCTAGTTCAACTTAGAGCAGAATGAGCATCAGCAGACTAGGTCAGACTGGTGGGACACGGGCTGCACTCACGTTATGCTGCGTCTCTGGAGAGTTCCCTGTGCTGGAGCTGTCGCTGCTGTAGTCGGACGTGTTCCTCCTGTGAGTTGGCACGAATCTCTGAAGGAGAGAGAGAGAGAGAGAACAGTGAGAGATTTATATAGAAAATGAGACCAGAACATCTAAAACAATATAGCGATGGGGAAAAGTAGCTGAAGATGTCAAAACTCTCCATAGAAAAAAACTTAAGAGACTTTATGTAAAATTATATATATATTTAATTCTATGTTGTGTTTTCAATGTCTGAATGAAGATAAAAATGGAATTTGTCAAAAGGAAATCATACTTTCACCAAAGTCTTTATCACCTCTGTCAGTCTTCACATTATTATAAACATGCACAGTGTGGCCAAAAGTATATGGACATCTATTTTCACCTTTCTTTTGTCTGTGATTGTTATTTGTTGTTTGTTCGACATGACAGCTCCCGAAAAGTGAAGCCGTCTTGATAAACAGTCTACGGTGGCAACAGTTTAGAGAAGCTCCCGTTCTAGTACTAACATACTTTTGTACATTTGCTGTGAACGAGCTGTGACCACATCCACATTCAGTTTATCGGCCAACTGAGGCAGCCCTAATTGAGCAACATCATTATTCCTCCTCACTAATGCTCTTGTGGCTGAATGGGAACAAGTCCCTGCAGCCAGGATCGGGTGGAAAACGCTCCCAGAAGAGTGGAGACGCAGCTATAAATGATATTGAAGGATCAGAAAGGTAGGGGAAAAGCTGTGCAGGGAAATTAACACCAGCTGTGATCTAAAATGTTACCACTGGTGTGTGCTTGTGTGAGGAATCGAAGCCGTGGCTTTCACACGTGAGTTGCTGAATAGGAACAAGCACAAGCCCTTGTTTGTATCCAGCTACTCTCAGGTGTTTGTGTACACATGTAGCTGCTCCTCCCTCTGCCTCTCAGGCCTGGAGCCGATACTGCACATAGGAGTACACCGCAGTGGATTTGACTTGCTAAATAAGGGTTAAAAAACCTCGGAGCGTCGCCGGATAAACAGAGACTCACCCTCAGTACTTCATGTTTAAGCTGGCAGACACACCCTGGATGTATGATGCATCGTGTGCATGAACATGCAGGTTTGAATGTGTGTGAATATATATATCGGTGTGTGTGTGTGATGTGTATGTGTACCCCTTCATCCTGAGCGGAGCTGAGCTGAGCAGGTCCCATGGTGTGTCTCCAGTTTTTAATGACCGACACGTTTTCCACCTCAACGCCATTCTCCACCCTAGAGTGACCAGGGGCCTGGAGGCACCAAAACACTGTCAGTTTAGTTCAAACACAAACAGTTGAAACTTAATACATGACAACAAAAGTTTTAACTTAAACCAGACGAAGGTAGAAGACAAACTTTTATATTTTTCCAGATAACAATATGCTCAGAAATGATCAATAATCACAATCTAAATTTAATTTAGTGTCTGAAAACCATGAATCCAGCAAAAAAGAAAGTAAATAAAATGTAATTACAGATCCAGCTCTGTCAGATATCTGTTGTACAGGTCGATCTTTACCTCAGGCAGGTTCCACTGAGACCTGGAGCCGTCTCTCAGGTAGTAGTAGGTCTGCCCTCGGTCGTCCACAGACTTGATCCACTGTTGCATAACATAACGTTAGAAATGGTTCAGTTATGTTCACTGATGTTTTTGAAGAAAGAAAATGAAAGACTAAAAATCTGCCTTGAAATGAAAAGGACTCAAATCAACTGTAGCTCAGAACATTAAAAAAAATCTAATTTAAAATTACTTAAAAGCGAAGAATAAACTCAGGATGGTAGAAACTATTCATGTAATCAAACGCTCGGACATACCTGATCTGGAGAGAGTTCACTGGTGAAGACCCAGGTTCCGTTGGGCTCCACGTTGAGGTTCCAGCCGCTCGGGGTGCTGCGGTCCAGGTTGGCCCTGGGGATGATGGTCCGGCTCACGTGGCCGAGGGTGTACTCTTTAGGGAGGGTGGGAGGTCCCGTGGCTAGGATCTCCTTGTAGACCTCTGTTTGTTCAGCAGCTGATGGGTAATCCTCCGAGGGGTAGTCCTCTTCAGGCAGAGGAGGCTGCGGGGCGTAAACACGACAATTATAATAATACAAACACACACAGCTGAAGGAAAGTCAAAGTCTGTAGCAGCTCATTGGTTTTATGGTTTGTTTTTCTCTTGTGACACCGTTTCATGGAGGATGGACAGAGTCAGGTCTGGACACAGAGGAAATCACCAAATTGACATGATTGTAGCAATTTAAATTCCTCACAAATCTATTAGAACTATTTCTTTTATCGTCCCTGGGGACTCCTGACCTTCAGACTGGGTGTAATCGCAGTTTTTGTGTTGAATAATGTCGGCTGAATAATTTCCTCCTGTGGCCCTGATGCTGAGCTCAAGGACTTTTCCATGACTTTGATATATAAGTCACAGTATTTTCTTCATGGCCTCGAAGTAGTATTCTTTCCTGGCCCATTAATGTTCTACCTCGAGCTCGAAAAACGTCAGAGAGGAGAAAGAGGGTCACAGAAGAAAATATGGGAAATCATTGGAATAATGAAATAATACGATGTGTGGTGAAATATTTTTACGTTTCTTGAAAGCCCCTGAAATCCTAAAACACTCTTGTTTAGTTTGAATTACTTCAGAATGAGGACAGATATTTTAAAGTAATACTGGAGACGCTATCCTGATGAAAATGAGTCCTGTCTGCTCTGTGGGTGCAGGAGATTTCCTTTCATTAAAAGCAGACTGTATTTACAGCTTTCCCCTGGGTGAAGCTAAAACAGGAGACAGAGAGGCTAAGTGGAGCAGCCAGGCCGTCCTTACCGGCCCGTCCTCGTGAAACCTGTGCACGCTCATCGGCTCCATCAGAGGCGGATACGGGCTCAGCAGCTCTGGAGGCTCCCAGGACGTCTCCCCAGACATTGGGTTGTAGAAGTAGGGGCGACCACTGGTCTCATCCACCAACTGCTCCCAGTCTGAGGGCCACGCAGGGGGGGAGGAGGTGGACAGAGAGAGGGCAGGTGACTGGGGAGGCGAGGGGGAGCAAGGGTCCAAGGCAGGGAGACGCTTGGGGTCCGTGGGGGAGTCTAGAAAGGGATTGTCCCAGGTGGTTTGCCCGGTGGACGGGTGGTAGAAGTACTCCTGTCCACTCTCCTGGTCAATGTGCACCTCCCATCCCTCTTGGTCGAGGTAGGAAGGAGAGTAGGACGAGGGAGCCGAGGGGGGAGACTCAGAGATGCTCTGGCGAAGCTGTGCTACGTTGACGTAGATGGCTGAGCGGAGGCTTTCATTCTCCACCTATGGAAAAACCAAAATATGAAGATTTAGGAAATAGGTTGACGTGAACTGTGAACCACTGTAAAAACTGTTTCTCGCACATTAGAACAATCAAATTATTTCACGAGCTGCGTCTAAGTATCTCAAGAACCAGTCTTCAGCTCACTGCTCACACTGCAGCTCTATATATATCAGCCTGCTGCGTCTCACTCGGCTCAGGAAGTAGCCTACAGCAAAAAAAAAAAATACACGAACCACACAAGTGTTTCTACCACAACAATTATAATTTCGTCATTCTTGCCTCATTTCTCCCACACACACACAAGACTTGGATTCTCTCGTGCCAAATAAGTCAGAGTTTGTCTGTTCTGATGTAACCTTCCAGATAAACGTGTGACAGCGTCTGACCACGGACGCAAACCTCAGAAAACATAAGAAGCACAGAACGATCAGGGGATATTTCAGGTTTTTGAACACAGCCCCACATGATTCGCTGGGTGATAAAACAATACTATTTACTGCAGTATGATTTTAGTCAATACAACAAAGGTCCAATATTTAGCGATGTATATCTGCCAAAGGTTTGTCAATTGTTTGATAATGTTTTGATATAATATCTGGATGCATGACCCAGCCCTACATGCAAATAAACTCAGGAGATGACAACTAGTTTGCTTTAAGAGTGTGAGAGTGAAACAGTGTGTGATGAAAGACGGACACTGTCCCCAGAAGCTCTCCTGAAACTGGACGCAATGACTCAGTGTGACTGAGCGTCTCACTTGAAATGACCCCGGCCAAGATTAGAGAACAAAAACAAACCAAAGCTCAGTCATCGTTCTGCTCTCATCTCACCTTCAGAGTCTGAGGATCTACAGACCTGGAAACACACGACGCCGTCATGATGGTACAGCTGCTGTCTCTGTCGGACTGAACTCCTTCTACCTCAGGTCTCAGCAGCTATATTTACCTGAGACCTGAGCGTCTGTGCTGCGTGTTCATCACTGTGATCGATGAGCAGAGCGATGAGGAAGAAACAGGTCAAGGAAGACGACTGACACCACTGAGCCTCAGAGTCCTACACTGTACTTTGTACTGCGCTACATTTATTCGACGGTTCCAAATCATGTGATGAACTGCATTGTTTCCGGAAATCTGTTTTGTCACACCAACTTAAATTCTGCCAGTACAGTTTTCTTTTACGTTTGCTAACATTGCATTATCGGACAGTGTGATGAGAAGTGGATTTCAAAGAAAATCATGAGTCATGCTTCCCTAAAAAAACCATCTAGTCTACCACCCTGTCTTGTTATTTCTTGTTAAAGTCTTTTCTGGTGCATTTTAGATCAATTAAATGTGAACAGAAACCAGTGGAAGACCATGTTCTTGCAGTTTGTCACTTGTTGGAAAATGTGTTTTCAGGATCTAATTATATATTGAAATGTCTTCAATCGGCCTTAATGAGGCACAGTTCATGGTCTGGCCGACTTGCCTCGAGGATGACCTCTGGGTATGCGTCCATCTATTTGATCCTTTTCCTCCATCATGTGGGATTTCCTGCACACTCGGAGATCACGGTCCAAACTGTGGTTCCTCGATCGTGGAGCGAATAATGGAAAAGGACCTTCTGGATCTTCATGACCCTCTTTTTTTCATCTGTGATAACACCTCGAACAAACTCACACGTCTAACTGGCACTTATTGAACTTCTCTAACTGATCACGCACTCAGCTCTTCGTCCTTAGTGTTTGTATATTACTTTAATTTCTCCTGCTGTACTGAAGCTTTAGTGTTGTCTCTGGTCGTAAGTCACTTTGGATCAACTAGTTAAGTTTATGAAATGAACGATATTTTCTAAATGATGAGTACTTTCACTTTTGACACTTGAAAATGCTTCATGTTACTTGTTATGTTTGTAAATGAAGGAATTGTTCTTCTTATAGAAGTTCAACATTGTTTTGTTCTGCTCTTTACTTAAGTAAATGATCTGAATGCTTTCTACTCTGCCGAGATGAAGATTAAAGTAGAATAAAACTAAAAAAACCAAAGCGAGGAGAGCATTCCTTCATAGATTTCATTATCAGCTTTTTATACGTCTATTCACTGTTATCGCTTTGCGTCATTATTGATCTCAATCTAACCATGAGCTGATCAATATAGATAACCAGACAACTGACCCCAAAACAGATTGATTCCAAACGATGCAGCACCACTGCACAGAAACAGAGGAAATGAAAGAGCGGCTTCATCGATCTCTGACACAGTGACACTGGAATGTCCCCTGGAACAAACCTTTAAAACCCACCACAGGCAATAATGAAAGAGAAAACTCCACGTACTGTATCCACGAACAAGCAGATACATATCCACAAACACTGTGATACAGATAGTCATCACTTTCAAGGAAATATTACAACCAGTAGTAACATTCAAATGAGTCAGGCTCAGTGCAGCATTGACTCAGACAGAATTTTCACAATGTTTAATTACTTGCAGAACTTTCTATGGTACTTTATTTACTTCAGTTTTACATAAAAACATGATTATTATCTTATTAAATTTGACAATTGGCTTGTGTCCCTTAGAAAAAGACGTGAACACACAGTTTTAGCTGCTACGTAATTTAAAACATAACCAATCTCAGCAATCATTGTGACTGTGTAAGGGCATTAAATGATGATGTATCAGAAACAACCTAATAATTTTATTTGGAATAATAATCAGTCACAAGATTCATTTCTATTCAAGAATACTTTTTTGAGTTATGGTTATAAATGCAGAATTTACCTGGAAAGTATCTCTAGACTAAAGTTGTGGGAACTGAACGTTTGCATCCTGTTTTGTTTCTCTGCAGTGAAAAGGTGAAAAACATCAGTTTTCTGCCCAAAAGCCACGATGACATAAAACACAGCTGGAATCAAAGGACATTTTGTTTGTTTCTGGATGAAAAGCATTTTGAAAAGGTGATTTGGATCCAAAGACTATCTCGTATCCACAGTGAGTGACTGATATTCTCCCTGTGGACAAACAAAACTGTCCAATTCAGACCTTAACTCCAAAAATACGGTTTTTAAAACTAAAACAAAGGTGAAACAACAACGTCTGAGCGTATGAACAACAGCTGCCAGCGTCGTCGCTTCTCTAGGAACAAGTGCAGTTGTGACATGTTTACGCAAAAAAGCAGGAAGCGAGACATGTCATCAAAACAACGAGATATACTCCGACCACACAGAGTGAAACTTTACACTAGAAATAAACTCTGCCTTGATGCCAGCCTAGTCACCTACCTGGGGAACCACCGGCAGGGTCAGGGCCTGCTTGGCCCGATGACTCGACCAAGCCCTGGAGTACGTGTCCACCATGTTTATATGGTTCTATTGAAAAGCAGCCATTCATCCAAATGTGCAAAACGAGGAACTCAACCAGACGTCAAAGCAGCTTGTGATGGTAGAGAGAGAGGGGAGATGTGAGACACACCCTCAAACACACATCCTCCCCGGCTGCAGCTGTGACAGTTGCACAGCAGTGCAGACAGAAAAGAGAACTGTGTGACAATGGCAGCAGGAAGGGACTGAGTGTGTGAGGACTGGGTGAGATGTGTGTGCGCCTACGCATGAGCTCCCTCGCACAGGATAGGGGGCCAGAGGGTGTGTGGGGGTGTGTGTGTGTGTGTGTGTGTGTGTGTGTGTGTGTGTGTGTGTGTGTGTGTGTGTGTGTGTGTGTGCAGACAAAGACAATGAAAACAAGACAGAGGAGGTCTAGATAAATGGAGCAACATAAACTTCACAGTTCACGTTAACCTACTTCCTGCTTGTGTGCCCATATGATATAAAAGGAAATGACCGCAATGGAAACACATCTTTTACAGAGCGCCTGATTTTAGGTTTAAATAACAACAAATAAAAACATGTCACAGAGCTGGAAGGCTTCTGAAAATGTTTTCTGCTCGTGTGCAGCAGCTTCTCTAACACGTACAGTATTCTTCTAGTAAGTCACTGGGCCGATGATTCAGAAACAAGGGGAAGCAATAATTTCTCAAGATGAAATGGAAGAGGTGCTTCTGACAAGACGCCGAGTTGGCCCTGAAACAGGAAGTTTAATTGTTCAATCAACACTTCCCTCATCAGGAGACAATATTAGCCCATCTGCAGACAGCGGACGCAGCATCATGTGGCTGCGGTGGTTGAGGTTTTTAGGTTGGGGGTGATCTCGACAGGCCGGTGGGTAACCAGGACCACTTCTCACTTTTACAGCTAAAGATGAAACGCCGTGAAACTGTGGTATCACGATCACGAATATTATGAGTTCCATCTTTTTATCTTAACAACATCTTTTAAGACCATGACAAATGTAATTTAAGAAATATCTCAAGCACAACTGAAAAGTTACTTTATCTCTCAAGCTACAGATGGAGACGGTAGATTTCAATAGTTTTTGACTCAGAGTGTAGCCATAAATTCTGATCCGGGTGTTTGTAGGTTGCACCATTAGTTCCATGTTGGCTTGTTAGTTTTATTACAGCGTGACAATATCTGCCTCTGAAAGAACAGCAACACACGGAGACATTACAAACTATGCATGAAAGACAAAACGGACAAATTTTAAACACGAGGGAAATCTTGTTAATTGAGCGTCAACATATTTAAGACCTTGCTGGATGTCTTAAAACCTAGTTAATAATATTTTAATGCAAGGAACACTACACTTTGTATAATAATAGCTGCAGTGGGTCAATGCTTCCTGGAACCTCTGACAGATTTTGCATTTGTTTCCCATTAACAGAAGACAGGAGATCATTTGTTATTCAAATGTGTCTCTGTAAAAACCTTGACAATACCGATGTTTCAAATCTTTGAGATATGGAGGTCTTCGATTCTGCTGAAGGACATCTTCACATGTCGAGAAAACATCGAGAGGAAAAACTGTATTTGGTTTCTTCTCCTAACTATTAATTACAACTAATGTTTTCAAGCATGATTTGAAAAGAAAATCCTGCAGAGTGGAGCAGACGACTCTCTGCCCTCCGCAATGCATGAAGCAGCAATCTGCCTGATTACTTAACCACATTAGCACTCATCCAATCAGACAATGGAGCACCAAATTGGGGCCCAAATCACGCCACAAAGCACAGTCCAGCTATTGAATGGATGTGGCTCCACCCCCTCTTACATCACACTCTCCGTGGCCCAGAATCCAGGATAACTCCACAAATGCTCGACGCAGGATCCATCTGACTATCATGATCTTATAGCTCTTCAGGCCAGGTCTGCATGTCTCACACTCAAAATCTGCACATATCTTCCCACTCGTATTTGTAGGTGAAATGTTTTCTGTGTAGGAGGGGAACACTTAAATTATTGCAATCGTCTCGGAGGAAACTAGAAACCAGACAATAAACATGGAAACTTCTCACTTCTGCAGACTGATCAGGTGCAAGTAAATATCAACACAGAGCATGCAAACAAACTGAATGTAGGCCGTGCATGTGCGATTCATTCCCCTCTATATTCTCACCCTGCATATATTTGTTCTATATCACATGTTGTTATGTTACTTGAATAAAATACTGAAGTCTATTTTTGACTTCCCTCTTACGGCTGTAACATGAACATAAACACATTTCCCCGTTGTGGGACTGATAAAGGATTATTTTATCTTATCTTATCTTCCACATTTGGGACTGCCCTTGAGGGATCCTTCAGCTCTGCACTCAGAACACCATTGAGCTGACGGTCGGATGTTCTGGATGTTAGGATCACTTTAATCAAGCGCGTGATTTAAACTCAACAAAAACATTTTAGGAATAGTAAGGACACAAAAGACATTCCTGCTCATATGACTCATCCAGGTCCTCACAGAGACCAGCTGAGGCTTCCTGTAGGACTTCTGCAGGAGTTCTGCTTTCTCATGGCTCTGGACGACGCAGAGCGCTGCCTCACAAAGCTGAACTCAATAATCATATTGATATAAACGATTTCAGAAACCTGCGTTGGCCCCAGTTTTACCTCTGATGCAGATTTTAATTTGGATCTGCACCAAATTGCACAGACACATAAAATAAAAATGAATCCCATGAATGTGTATGATTGTTTTCATCAGGATCCACGAATTATTCTCTGAGTAATGAAGGAAAATTTTGAAATCTCACAAATCCTGGATCCGCCCCCCGATCCAGATCATGGAAATAAGTTGAGTAGTTTCTGTGTAATCTTGATAACTAACAAACAAATGCAGACGAAAACCTAAACTCCAAAAGGTAGTTTGGAAATGACATACAATACAAAAAAATGTTCTGTTTTCATACAAAATAAAAGTTTAACTGTGTGTGTGTTTGACAAATCAGCAGAGATACGTGTAATTGTTTAGGAAAACCAGTTTTAAATGATTAAAAATCAGGTAAGTGTCTTTAAGGATTCTGGAAATACCTTAAAAATTATTATATTGCAGGTAAATGGGTATTTACTTAGTAGCTGCAGCATTTGTGACGTGACAGTAAAGCTCATATATGAGACGCATTAAGGACATACAGTTCTAGATGGACTAGAATGTCACGGCCAAGGCCCAACGATAAATTCAATTAAGATGCGCCTGTAAAACTGAAACTGAGACACAACGCACTGAGTCACTCTTTCAAACCGTCTGGTTAAATAAACACATCACTGTTTCCCACCTTTTGTATGAATCTGACAACAACACTGAAAGTTAAAGTCCTGACCAGGAACAACCAGGAAGCTGAGGCTCCGAGCGCCTGTTCTCGATCTACACATATTCTGTCAGGTAGGCATGCACGGAGAGCAGACACTCACACTACCTGTTGGAGCAGTTTCGTGGTATTTGATTTTGTCAGCTCCACAGAGCAACAATAATTACTGCTCCGTTGTCGTGGCGGAGCTCACGGTGCAAGCTGCCATTCCTCCAGGTTTGCTCCAAAATGATTTAAAGACAGAAAAGGGATCAAGTCACAGTCAAGACTATCATGTTTACAAAGAGGACAAAATGCAAAGGCTCAACGTTTCGTATTACTTGCCACAGATCAATGGGACGTTGGACCCCTCACATCAAATATCTTGACTAGGAGTGATAAAAATAAATCATTATCCATCATGAGTTCTTCAAAAACAGCTCTGACACACTAGTGCCACACAATGAGGTGCGTCATCCTCTGACCTTTACCTTCAGCAAGAATGAGGATAAACCATCACAAAATAACTTAAATTGTACATTTATAACTGAACAAACATTGGATTAGAAATCCCACCTGGATCCATCATCCAGCTCCCACTTCGTCTGAGATTCACAGAGCAGCCGACACGGACCTTGATATGACCCGACCCACATTGAGGCTAATTACAAGTCCTGCACAAACACATGAACTCATACGTCAGCTGTCATGGCAGAGAGGGGGCACTGGAGGCTCCACAGCAATGCATGCTGGGAGCCAGGCCAGGACCCCCCCACCACAAAGCCATCTCCCTCCTCCTCCTCCTCCTCCTCACGTCACCATGGAGATGGCCCTCCATTGTGGGCTAAGAATTACTGCACTTGAGGGGTCCTGGCACGTCTGAGGTTACAAACACAAGTTTCAAGCAGCAAATGCAAAGACTCGTGTGAGAGCGTCAACTTCTCACAAGAAAAAAAACCAAGAAGCAAACTTCTAGTTGCATCAACACGATGCACAAACACACGCACTCAGGATTTACACCCAGGGAGAAGAATCCGAAGTTTAACAGCGAACAGTAAATCTCATCCAACTCTTCGTGACGCACGCGCTCCCTCCTGTAAGAGGTGCCAAGAGAACCACTGTCACCAAACTTACCTGAACCGGAGCTTTCTGTCGTTTGTATTCAACAAACTACCTCCAGCAGGAGGAGAAGGTTACGTGAGAGGTAAGTTCGTGTGTTTCATGTTTTCCCTGCGCTGCGGTGGATCACGAATCCCAGGATCGTCACCGGTGTTAGGGGAAACCAGGTAGTCAGCTGGAGGTTTGGGAGTGGCCGTCCTCCCTGCGCGTTAACTCCTTCCTCCCTGCCGACACAACCTGTTCCTATAACCTGTTCTGACTGATCAGCCTCCCTCTGAACCTGATCATAGACCTGCAGCTCCTCCTTCACCAGTCACCAAGTTCATCCACAGCGCAGCGACGCGTTCAATCCAAACCTGAGCTGATTTTTACGCACCGGATGAACACGACTCCACACCAGCAGAAACTTTCGCTGGGATGTTAAAACTGATGCTTTTTTTTTACTGGTGTTGAAAACAACAGCTCTCCTCGCCCATTGAAACGACTCTGAAGGGGACAGGGCACCATTCATATGCTGATGAGCTGGCACAGATACTGTGAACCCGACCACTGAGGTATTCTCACTGTAAAAAGTTTCAGAGCAGAACTCTTTACATGTTCTGATAATAACTATAATAAATCAAATCAAAAAAAGTCAATAAAATAAATCACAAGAAGATGAAAGTTATTAAGAAGATATTTGAAAACAGTAATATAACATTATACTAATGATG